CATACACACATACACATACACACATACACACACATGCACACACATACATACACACATGCACGTACACACACATACACATAAACACGTACACATACACACATACACACATGCACACACATACACAAATACACATACACATACACATACACACATACACGCATACACATACACATGGACACACACTCAAACACTACTCAAACATACACACACCCACACATACACATACACATACACATACACATACACATACACACACTAGCGCGCTATACATTGTCGGCAGTTATTCAGTTCTTTGTCTGACCATGAGTCATTCTCACTGCTTTTCTGCCCTGAAGATCTCTTCGATATGGAAAATGCAGCCAAGGTCATCGTGCTTATTACATCTTTTCACCTTCTTGAAAGTTTTGAAATGAGTTCACAAATGCAGGGCGCCACGTAGGCAGATGGTATACAAGTTTAAACCATGTGAATTTGTCGAGTCCTCGCTTCGCTACCGCCTGTCGAGTCCTCGCTTCGCTACCGCCGCATCATGTGCTCGCCATCAATCACCTAAGCAACGTCGTACAAGACCGATATAAAAGCTGCTGGTTCGAGATAGCCAAGTCGACTTGCTCTTCTCCGCCGCCGTGGAACATCGCCCTGGTCGTATGGCCTCCTCGTCCTGACCCGTTCCCCTTGTTCTATTTATAATGTTGTATTAGTAATAAACATATTTAGACAAAACTATTGTATCACAGAAGAACACCCGTTCCCGCTACACCATCAGATGTAGGCCTCGCGAACCTATATTCTAATATGGAGCTCCCAGTGAGATTATTTTTTTCTCTATCCTCGTTTTCCAAAGCTTGAGGGTATGATACTAACTAAATTCTCTCTCCCTCCTCCTTTTTCTCTATGGTACCATATAAAAAACACACCCCACCGTTTTCCCTCCCTATCCTTTCGTCTGTTCTAATGGAATCAACCACACCGACATGGAATCGATTTAATACAGGACAAGGAACTTCAACAGCGATCTCAGGTAAGTCGATCATTTGATTATTTGTATAAACAAATTGAACTGGAATAGACAACTCTCGAAAAAAGGACGCTCTTTTTCGATACGTCCACACCATTTTCTAATGGGTAGCGGCACTGTACGTACCGCCTTCATATTTTTAGGGTTGGAGTTACTGTGTGCATCCAGAGCACAGTTTACTCCTAATTATGTTGTGATCAAGTATCACTAATGTAGCCCAGGCGACGAGTTCCTAAGTTTACTACGGCCCATCCGCATCAATAGCCCATAATAAGGTTACCTCGAGGTGTTGCTAATTGTTAAGAACGCTATCACTTCTTTTCTAGCACCTCTATTCAAGTTTGAAGAGCATTGAGTTTTTACGAGGTGATAAAAAATGAAAAGGTAACAAAAAAAAGACGAGAATGATGAAAATATAGTACAAGTCCCGACGGACGGCTTCAAGCAGTGTGTCTTGCTGCCGCTCCGAGTGCGTTCTAAGTCAAATTATATCCATATTAAAAATTAGTCACTAGTATACCATTAAGTAAAGCTATTACTAGTCTAGGCTCTAGTCTAGTAAAATAGAAAATATTGCATTAATACAAAAGTCGTTACTAATAATCAAAGGACTCAGTCGCTATTTTGACGTCTTTCTTTTATCCGGAACTCAGAAGTATCATTCGCACTCCTACTATCTCTAGGAATGAGACCATAACGGACTTCTTTATTTTAGTGCACTTCGAGATTTCAACAATCTCAACTCTTGCGGATCATTGCATACGGTAAGCTATTCATTGCTCACCAACGTCTGCCATTTGCCACTCGGAAACTCCAACCGAGATCATTAATCCTGTGGCGACATTCCGCATCTCGAGATTAATGATCATCTGACCACTGATCACTCTAATCCCGAGCAGAACACATGCCCGACTCACTCGCAAGCGAAATCAATGGGTAACGGCGCACATCATTTATCGTACCGAATCACTCAATGTAGGCGACCAGTGGCAGCTGCGCTCATTAACGCTTGGCCGTCTCGCGCCAGCTGCCAACTGTTGGTCTTGTACCTACGCGAGTTCGGATTACGGTATAGCATGAGTCTCCAGAAACAAAAACTTTATCTGCATCAACATGTGATAAATTATCGAGTACAATAATTCAGGTTGGGTTTGTTCCAAGAGAACAATCGTTTACTTATAGTGGTTGAGTTTTATTCCACAGAGTGCGTCAGCGCACCTAACGTATCGGACGTTCTTGTAACCGTTGCTAACGCTTACGTTCGTTTCGTTAAAATATGTGCGTCATCCTATCTTCACTTATCCTTTTCTGTCAATAAAGACGAAGAATTCAAGACACCCATCGATCCAACTCTTTGCAAATATATGAGAAAAACTAAAAAAAATATGAAAACACCCCCCTAGATCCCTTATCACCTAATGTATATGGCTCCGATAACCAGACCCATTACTCATACCCACGGTTTTTCGTGGAGAAATGCACCAGTGCCACCAATATTTACTTGGAAAAAGGGAACATTGCAACTTTTGACGGGAGTCACCTGATCAGACAGTTCGGAGATGGGGCACGTTGTAAAATAGATGCCACGCACTGCCATCTTAGACACGGTACTGTGTTATGGGACAAACCACCATGTTCACCACCCATATGTCGATATATTAGAGCCATACAAGAAATGGCATGTGTAACACCAACCCATAAAATACTTCATGCTATTCAATCGGCGTTTGCGTATACATACGAATATATCACTATCACCCTCCCTAAAGAGTGTTTGGTGTTTGAATTCTAACGCCACGACAATGGTGTATTCATAGAAGTGCCGGAATTAACACGTTGACGACAACGCACGTTTGGACATTTTTGGCCGCATGGGACAGACGCAATTTTGCGGCAGCTTCGACCGCGGGACACATATGTCCCGCGCTGTCCCTTGAGGCGCGCTTTTCGAAGCTTGAGTGTAAAACCTACTTTCAACTACTTATCGCTACTTAGTAAGTTGATTAATAAAATGAAAAGCACGCAAAAATGTTCTACATAATAAATATTCCGCTCTAACAAATGTATATACGGACATACAAATGGCTGGAGTAAAAGAATACTTGGACGATGCAATACAACTCGACCATCATCTGACACCGCAGTGCGAAGTGAGGAGATCCAGATTACCGAAGAATGCGCGAATTCGGACGACGGAGAGCAAGGAGCTACTGAAGAAGAAGTAGATGATATGGAAGAAGATATGGAATCTAAATTAGAAGAAGAACAATCCGATAGTAAAAGTATGGTGGTTAAGCGATGTTTCGCCGCACGATGCTCGGACTTTTAGTGGTGCCTCCGGCTTACATGATGTTGTTTATGACTGTCAGGAACCAACAGACTTCTACGAACTGTTTCTGAATAGAGAGATTCTGGCCTCGTTAGAGAAACCAATAGTTTCGGGATTCACAAAATGAAGAATTTCAATGAGAGTGAGCGCTGATGAAAGGAGGAAACATTTGTTCAATTGCTATTAACTTACAATCAATAGCTTGCTTCCTTTGTTTTTATTTTACTTGTTTTTGTTGATCTCAATATAAATGCCGAAGTTCAAAGTAGGTCCGAAATTCTGTGAGACTCAGAAAACCTGTGCAAAGATGGAGCATATCTGATCATTTAATGGACCATTATGTTTATAGTTTTGTTACTGTTGGATATGTAATATAAACCCAAAAAACATCTTAATAAATCATGCATGCGTTAAAAAAGTTGGGAAATGAGCGCGGGACACATATGTCCCGCGCTGTCCCACGTGGCCTGCATAACGCGGGACATATGTGTCCCGTGTTGTCGTCAACGTGTTAAGAAATTATGACCCTCGATCCGTATTCTTTCAAAACCCAGATGTGGTACGAACTATTAATCAACAACACTTTTACAACTCGCAGTTAGTCCAACTCGCAGATACACTCACCTATATTGATCAATCTTCAAAACAACCCTTAGGTGTTCATTCACATAGATCTGCAGAAGGTACCAGTCCGTTTTTCATGAACATCGTCTTCGTTAGGTTCAGCCTCAAGCCGATCTTTCCACAAGCACTATCAAACTCGGCCGGCATTCGTTCCGCCTGCTCGATGTTCGGTGTTATAAGCACGATGTCGTCTGCAAAGCGGAGGTGATGTAGGGAGCGGCCGTCGACCTTCACTCCCAAGTCTTCCCATTCCAAATGACGCATGACATTCTCGAGGGCGGCACTGAAAAGTTTGGGCGAAATAGTATCGCCTTGCCGNAATCGATGTTCATGGCCAAGTGCGTATTGACGAGGACACCTACACCGCTGACGCCTCTACTGTCGCATGTTCCAAGGAACAGTTCTTCTCCACTCTCAAATACAGCGTGCAGCGGGCGATACCTTCTCGTCTCGGTCAGTCCGATGACGTCGTACTTGATCTTCCTAGCTTGCATCATCAGGTCTTCTATACACGCTTCCGATGCAAGCGTCCGTGCGTTGAAAGTACAGATCGCCATCCTAGTCCTTCTCCTTTTGGGCAGCCTGTTTTGGCCCTGAGATTTTTGCAGCCTCTCCCGAGCGGTCCTACCCAACGCTACCGTATTGGGGGCTCCCTCAGGTTCAGGGGAATGAGGCCCATTTTTATTACTGTTTTTTGCGTGAAGATACCCAACGTGCAGCTTGCCAGACTCTGACGTGGGGGCTATCGACTTCGGGGGCTTGCCAGGCTATCCCGAAGTGGACAAGGGGCTTTGTTTTTGGAGGCGGCCCCAAATCGCCTCCCGAATACTTCCCAGCGTGACTTGTTCGTCACTCGAATGCAAGCTTTTGGCCGAGTCGATGGGCAGGATACCAATTGCACCCACAGACCCTCAACACACGTATGCGGGGATCGCCTGCGAGAAACAAAGGGTATATCGACCCAGCACAGCAGAATCAAGGAGTCCATCCCCTGAATTCACCTGCGTCTCTGGGAAAGTACCGGTGACTTTTGGTCGGCGATTAATTCCCCTATCCGCCACCTGGGGACGCCCTACGTAGCCTCGCCACTAATCGGCTGGGAATCCTTCAGTGAGGGGCAGGTTATACGATCTCAAAAAGAAAAAATTCTACAGAAAGTGGGTCTCTACAAAATAGTTAAACTGTCATTTTCATAACAACACCTTTTATCACTTTGATAATACTAATCATCGCAGACTGTCAATCACTCTGCGTACACACAACCTTTAATTACATCTTTAGCATTATTGCTGTTGGTATATCTTTTGCCGCCACCTATTTTTGTAGCAAAGTAAATTCCCACGCTCAAATCTGGCTCAGCAACAGCCAGAGATTAGTCGACTCATTGTAGGAGCAACATCACGACACTCTGAGGACCCTATACGAAGTTAAGAACAAACGAGTGTTTTAATACAAATACCCTCAATGGATATTCCTTTATCTAACGTACCACTTATGCGTCCCGAACAGGCACCCAAGTCCAAACCACGTCAGTTTCATAATTTCCTCCCAACTGTTTCGTGCATACGAAACACTCAAAGTAGTCCAATGATTTACATACCCATTTCATACAATGATATGCCGATCATAGCCCTTCCCGACACAGGCTCGGCTTAAACTATAATTTCCGAAGCAATAATTCGCATAATCAAAGCCACAATCAAGCCCACGACAACCACGCGAGGAATTGCCGTTAACGGATCTGCAATCACATTCTTAGGCGAAACAACTCCTCTTTATGTATAAACGGCAGAATTCTGTAACTTGTCTTGTCGCCTCAGACGCAGTCTGTCCTTCCTCATTTATCCCTGGCAACGACGCGAGTCCCCTATTCGGAGATACCGTTTCATTCGATCACACCTCCGTCCCATTCATGACTACAAAGTGGGACACAAACAATAATAACCTCCCAGTGCCAGTCTTTCTTTTTAGAGAAATGATTCTTCAACCGTTTACTGACCATGTCACAGTAGAAACAACCAAACCTCGTTTCCTCAGTATTGGGAGCTCTTTACCTCCGACGATTTACGAAACTCTCTACCCAGAGGTGTTTTCGTGGGCAAAACTATCTTCCCTAACGCTGAGGGTACAGCCACTATTCGTATATTTAATGCTAATTCCACCCATATAACACTACCCAAAAATATTCAAGTAGCCACAGCGACGGTAGTGGGAATCAACGCCTCATGGAAACCCATTTTTTCGGTATATACGAATAACTGTCCCAACCAAAATCATATACACGAGTACGTTCCATCCGAGGCGGATTTCGCAAAGGAACTACCATTTTTCCCAAAACCTTCCAATCCCCTACCAATTTCCAATCGTGCGGCACTAAATTCGTCCGTTTTGGAAACAGAAAAACTTCAACAATTCCAACAACTCCTTCGTGACTACAGTGACTGCTTTGTAGGTAATAATGGACACCTAGGTCCTTATTACGTCCCATCACCCACAATATCAGCTTTGTACAACACCCAAAAATACCAAAGCAACGCCCCTACCTGGTATCGTTATAGAAGCGTCAGGGAATAGAACGTCAGATAAAGTAATTGTTAAGGACAAATCTCATTGAACCAAGTACTAGCATTAGAACTGTACACAGTTCTTGATTTCAAAAGTGGTTTTTTTTCAAATACCCTTATCGCCAAAACGTAAGGAGCGAACAGCTTTCTCTTACTACCTCGGGTTATATCACTTTACAGTAATGGCGCCAGGTCTCAAAGGAGCCCGGCAGCATTTCAAAATGTAGCCAATAGTCTCACAAAAGGACTACGAGCTTGTTGTTTTGCATATATCGATGACATAATCATTGCAAGTCAGTCAGTCGATCAGCATCTCAGAGACCCAGAAGAAGTATTCCGACGAATTCGAGCGTTTGGAATGGACTTAACACCAGAAAAATGTTCTCTCTTCCGAACTAAAGTGAAATACTTAGGCGTTTTTATTAGTAAAAGTGGTACCCGACCAAACCCCGATAAGGTAGCTAGTATAGCCAATATACCACGCCCGATAAATGTCAAAGCAGTAAAGCCTTTTCTTGGAGCCGCTTAGTTTCGTCGCTATATACCGCGTTTTTCCATTATTGCCACACCTCTCCACAATTTCGTGCTTAAAAAGCCCCGTTTGATTGGACAGATGCTAATAATCGAGCGTTCAGTGCTTTGAAAAAAGCGCTTGTGGAGGCGCCTCTTTTGATTTTCCCCACACTCGGACAACCCTGTATCCATCATATTGATGCGTCCACCATTGGGTTAGGCGCATGTCCCTTACAGACTAATGCACAAACCCAGGGAGAACAACCCATTGCATATGCTAGTCGGTCTCTGATTAAACATTATAAGAACTACGCAGTTACTGTACTAGAGGTTTTAGCAATAGTGTTTGCGCTCAAATAATTTTACCTATATATAGCGAATACCCGAATCACCCTCATCACGGATCATGCGCCCATTAAATCGTTAATGCACGATCGGATTTGGTAGGACGCCTGGCGAAATATCAGTTAACAATCCAATCTTACGATCTAACAATCGAGTACCGCGCAGGGAAGC